AAAAAAAAAAAAGAGTAACAAACAGGTTCATGAATTAGTCTATTCTCACACTGTCTACTTGAGACTCGGTAACTTATGAAGAGGTTTAATCCACTCACAGTCCTCAGGCTGTACAAGAGGCATGGCTGAGGAGGCCTTGGGAAATCCTGGCAGGAGGCAAAGGGAAAGCAGTCATACCTTCTCATGGTGGCAGGAGAAAGATAGCATGAAGAGGGAGGTGCTACACACTTTTAAGCAACCAGATCTCATGAGAACTCTATCACGAGACAGCACTAGGGAGGTGGTGCTAAACCTACACCAGGCCCCACCTCCAACATTGGGAATTACAGTTTGACTTGAGATTTGGGTGGCGACACAGAGCCAAACCATATTAATTCATAAGTTTGTGGGACTGGGGAAAACTCAGTCTTTTGTGAAGATTGCAAAGGGTTACAATATTCGAACAACAGAGAGAAAACTACTAGTCATATTAGTCTGCTAGGTGCCACCATGAGCATTATTTACCTAGAAATAGTTTAAACATCATTTACTTATTTTAACTGTAAGAACTGCTAAAAACACAGTTTTTACAGACCAGAATATAAAAATTAATCTTGACAAAATAGAAAAGCTGGCAAATTAGGAGGTGGCAGGAGTGTTGGGAAGGTTGAGAAAGTAACTTATAAAATTACTTTATGAGAATTGATGGAATAAGAAATACAGGTTTAAATAAATATCGTTTACATTTATAAAGAACAAAATATTTTAAGTATAAGGAATTGAGAAGGCCTGGGAAAGGGAGGTAGTGGGGAGCTAAATAAAGGCTTATCTATGTCGTAGGAAGTCAGAAGATAAAATTTAAAGTTATACCTCAAATATCAGCACAAGTATATTATTTAAAGCTATGGAAATAATTGAGACCTAAAAACAATTAAAAATTGTTTCTTCAAGGAAGGGATAGGGCCAAATATACTTAAATTCTTCAGTAACTGCCTCAAGTATCAAAAAAAAGTCGTTTTAATATTCTTATCTGTGTTGATAAAACTGGTTCATCTTTTTTTTTTTTTTTTT